GTTGAATTTGGTTCACTGGCTACAGTTTGCTAATCTGTTCTAGAATTCAGGTCTTCCTGAATTCCTCTGGAACCTAAGCCTTAGCCATTGACTAGGACTATATAAATACTGGTATAACCAAATAATATTCTTCTTGGTAATAATGCTTATGTATATATGTATGTATATACATATAAAATGTATATACATATAAAAGTATATATATATATACTTTTTTTGTACTGGGGATTTTATATGCTTTGTAAGCACTTTTAACACTGAGGTATACCCTCAGCTACCCATAATTTTTATAGTTTATTTTCTGAAGTTTCTGATATGCATTATTTTGCATGAACCTGATACTGCCCTGTAAAGTAGGCAGAATTTAGCTTCTTTCTAAACATGAAAAAAATAGGTCTAGAAAGGATTTTTTTGTTTGCCTGTTTTCTTTTTGGTGCTGGGTATTAATCTCAGGGCCTCTCAGTGAGCTACATCCGCCTTTCCCCAAAGGGCTAATTAATCAGCCCAAAGATAAGTGATTAATTAGTAGAGTTAGATGGGAACTTGGTAGACTTCTAGGGAAATGAGACAATATAAAGTTACTACAGTCTTTTTGGCTATTCCAAACAGGCCTCACAGAGTGGTAGTGTTTTGGGTACCAGATTCAAAGATTAGCATTCTCACACTCAGCTGGCCATAATTATAAACACTAGAAACTAATGGGATATTCCAAATTGTCATTGACAGTATACTAATTTTAGGTCAAGCAAAATAACATACGGTCCTCTGGTCAATAATACATTTATTTCTCTGGTGAAGTCTTTTTTTTTTGGTAGTACTGTGGTTTGAACTCAAGGCTTGTACCAGTCCCTCTAGTGAAGTCTTAATGAGAAGCCAAAATTTAATCAGAAAGTTGTCTGTCAGCATGGAACCCAGGTCAGGGGGTCTTGGCTTATCTTTATGGCTAATAAACATTGAATACTCATCTCCATCTATTAAGGCAGATTGCTGGTAAGGGGACCAGAATGTTCCATGTGCCGGTCAGACCACACTTTCCCAACACACAGTACATTTTTGCTTTTTAAAGCTTTTTCTCTTTTTTTTTTCCAAGATTCTATAAAGACTGTCATTCTATAAAGACTATCGTTTTTCAAGTGGGATTTGATTATGTTTATTTTCCTGTGAGCAAATTAGACTTTAAGTCTGATTAGTTTTATCTAGGTTGTGGTAATTCTGCTTTGAAGTTTATGTACTTTTTTTTTTTTTTGGTGGTACTGAGGTTTGAACTCAAGGCCTGCACCTTGAACCACTCCACTCCTCCACTCCACTTCTTTTTTGTGAAGGGTTTTTTGAGATAAGGTCCTGCAAACTACTTGCCTGGGCTGGCTTTGAACCTTGGTCCTCCTGATCTCTGCCTCCCGAGTAGCTAGGATTACAGGTTGCTGGAGTTTATATACCTTGATGGTATCTTCTCAAATGTCAGCCATTTATTACTGATCGTTTCTGAGCATGGGTCTCATCTAAGAATGATTATGTACTTGCCTTATTGTCTCCCCTGTGTATAGACTTCAGAACCCAGGCTTCTGAGAATTTCTCCAGTGTATTCTCCATCATATTAGCTTTCACTTCAGTTCAGCCAAGATTTAAACAAACAAAAAACTTGTAAAAGGGATAGTGATGTCCTTTGCAGCCACAGGATGTGACATTATAATTTCAGAGTTAATGTCTTAAAACTTAGACTAGGTGGAAAAGGGAAGTGATATCTCCTGGGGGGATGACTACTGTAAAAGCATAGTTCTATTGTATCTAGGTCATAATAACTATAACCAGTGAGGTTTCAGGGCTTTGATGCCTTTATTTTCTCTGATCCTAGATCCTGAGTAGTATTCCTTCCTAGTAAATGATAATGATAATTTAATGAAAGCAATGAACACATTGTGGCCAACACAGAAAAGGTAGACATTTTTGCTTTTTTTGGGTGGGGGCAGTTTTTTTTTTTTTTAAGCCTTGGGCATGAGTAATCACTTCTTGTACCACTGAGTAACTTTCAGCCCCTCCCTTTTCTTTCTTCCTGGCTTTCTCCCCTCTCCCTCCCTTCCTTTCCTTATTCTTCAGAATGGTGGGATTAGAGTTGTGGGCCACCATGCCTGGCCCTCCCTTTTTGAGACAGATCTCATTTATGTAGCCCAGGCTGGACTGGAACTCATGGTCCTTCTGTTTCAGCCTCTCCACTAATGGGATTACATGTGTGTCAATACCATGCCCAGCTAATCATTTTTTGGCTGTACTGGTGCTTGAATTTAGGGCAGGCAGGTGTTCTACCACTGTAGCCACACTGCCAGCCCTAAACTTAATCTTAAATGGAGCATCTTTTTTTTTTTTTTTTATTCATATGTGCATACAATGCTTGGGTCATTTCTCCCCCCTGCCCTCACCCCCTCCCTTATCACCCACTCCGCCACCTCCCTCTCCCCTCCAGAGCATCTTTTTTTTTTTTTCAGTACTGGAGTTTGAACTTGGTGCCCACATCTCGGTCACTCCATCAGTCCTTTTTTGTGATGGGTTTTCTTGAGATAGGATCTTGCAAACTATTTGCCTGGGCTGGCTTGGAACCTTGATCCTCCTGATCTCTGCTTCCTGAGTAGTAGGATTATAGGCACGAGCCACAGGTGCCTGGCTCAAAGTATTTTTTAACTGGGTGTCTTGTTTTTGGTTCTGGTGTTTGGTTGTTTTGTTTTTGATACAGGCTCAGGCTGGCCTCAATCACAGTCTTCCTGCCTCAGATTCTTGAGTGCTAGGATTACAGGCCTGTATCACCATGCAAGGCTTGTTTATTTGATTATTTGGATGTTTTTTGGAACAGGGTTTTGCTGTGTAGTTTTGAACTAGTGACCCTTCTGTCTCAGCCTCCTAAGCAACTATGACTGTAGGATGTCACATGCCCTGTTTGACAAGGATGTTTTAATATATATATATACAAAGTTTTTTTGTTTGTTTTTATGGTACTGGGGCTTGAACTCAGGGTCTACACCTTGAGCCACTCCACCGGCCCTTTTTCTGTGATGGGTTTTTTGAGATAGGGTCTCTCGAACTATTTGCCCCATCTGGCTTCAACTGGTGATCCTCCTGATCTCTGCCTCCTGAATAGCTACGATTACAGGTGTGAGCCACTGGTGCCCAGCAAGAAGCACCTTCTTTAATGAAGTACCAGAACCTTCTCCATGTAAGAAAACAAAACATTAAAATACAGGAGTCTCTTTTGGCTGACAGTGCCAATCACAAACCTTTTCCCCAGTCCTCAGCCAGCCACTGTTTTTAGGTTTGTCTATATTCTTTCAGAATTCTTTTCTCTGGCTTTTCCATTAAGTCTGACTCTTGAGTGGTTTTTATCTTTGACTCTCCCACATATTTTTGTAATGCAAGAATACAAATAGGAGGAACACTGAACTGACCAGGCAAATAGCTCACTGGCAAAAGGGGAAAGAGATCATCTATGTATGAATAGCAGTAATAATAAGTTCTATTTGTTTAGAGGCATGGTCTGAGTATTCTTTGACTAATTCAAATGAAAAACCAAGATTTCCCTTGAACTGGACAGGACTGTTTGAGGTTTTAATTATTTCCATAAAGTAATTTAGCATAGAACAAGTTATTAATATTACTAGAAAGTTAGTAACTAGTACAATACCCTGCATCAGGCTCAGTATAAGCGAATTCCCTGTCCACCTTACTTAAACCTATTGGACCCTGTGGGTACAAACAGGGTGTGAAAATAATTGAGCTATGTGTCATTTAATTTTCACAACCCTGTGAGTTCGAATTGAGATAAAGCCTGTGGTACTAACTAATCTAGGATACTTGTGTGTGTGCGCGTGTGTCTGTGTCTGTGTGTGTGTATTTACACATATTATTTTGTTTTGGTGCTGGAAATGGAACCCAGAGCCTTGTGCATGCTAAGCACGTGTTCTACCATTGAACTACATTCCTGGTTCTTGGGATACTACCTTTTAGGATCAAATAGACCAGTAAATGAGGAAATACTTAAAAAAGTTCTAAGACATTATGGTATTTAAACTATAATCACTTATGCTTAATTCCTGGAGTTAACAACAAGGGAGGTCTGAGAGGTGGGTCGTTCAGTTTTCGGATACACAAAACCTATTTGGGCCTCTTATGCCAGGAAGTAATTCTCTGAGCCCCTTTTTCTTTATCGTCAAAACAGGGCCAATCTTTGCCTAAAGAGATTGATTATATGCTATAATAAAAATAAATGTATAAACGGCAAAGGTTAGTCTTTTCACGCAGAAGGAAATTGGGAAGGCCGAACTCGACCCACATTTAACCACACTTAAGTCTCGAGGTTGAAGGATGTCCCCCGTGTTTCGGGTCCGCCGCAATCCGTTGGCGTCTTCCCGCGCTGGGGGCAGGGCGGCGCGAGCCAGGCAACGTGGTGGCAGAACCCAACCAACGCCAGGACCACGCCTCCCAGCAGGAACCACACTGGGACACTTGGCAGGTGGCTCGCACTGGTATTAGTCCCGGAAGTTAGCCTTATCGGCTTTCCGTCTCGGCAGTAGCGTACACCTAACGAACCATGGGAGGTACCTTTGCTGTGCAGCACGCTGGGGGCCGTAGTCCCGTCCCGCAACGTCTGGAGGCCAAGCTTGCCTTCAGTGGTTGACCTACATCACGTGACAGCAGGGAGCAGCTTGTAGTGCCTCATGAGGTCATCACAGCGCGACAACAAGCTGTAGATGTGGGTACCATGTATTAGTGGGTAATACTACCCGGATAACTCCGAGTGCGAGAAATGCCATAAAGCCTCCTTTGCTCTTCCTTTCTCTTGTCTCCACCATGCTGGCGCTGTTGGCCTCGCCCCATTCGAGTAGCATTGGTGTCTCGAAGAGGCGGTGCGCTCTGTGGGCGGGAGGGGAATCTGCGCGCGCCCGCTATGGGCTGTGGCCCCGCCCTCTCCCGTGACGTATAGGTCACGTGACGGGCAGGGCCGCCTCTGCCGCCGCCGCCGCTTTGTAAGAGGCACATTGGCAGGTAACGAGCGGCGGTGGCGGCGGGTCCCGAGTCCAGCGAGAGCAGCAGCGGTAATTGCCACCCTCTCCCCTTGGTTTCTTTTTCCAGGACCTTGAGCGTTGCAGTGTGAGCTTTTTAGATGTGGGTCTATGTCTTCTGAACTCCCAATCTCCTTCAGGTTCCCCAGCGCCCGCCCACCCGTGTGGACCCGGCCGAGCTTCCCTCTCTGGCTTCACGCTTCCCTAGTATGTCCAGGCCTGGACACCCGCCTTCTTCTCCCGCTCGGCTTGCCCTGTGCTTTTTCCTGCCTTACCCCATCCTAGTTGGCCGGGCCCCACCCAGCCCCAGGGGGCGCCTTCCCCTCCCCCTTCGGATTTCTGTCCTGGAGGGTGTGGTTTTTTTCTTTCCCCCCTCCCCACCTCAGTCCCTTTGGGTCGCTCCGAGCTACCCCGCCACGCAGTCCTTCGCATTCCGACCACCGTTCTGCTTTTACGCCTGGCGCTAGTTCTGGGACTGGCTCTTTTAGAGCCCCAAGTTATGCGCTCTCTTCCTTTTCCCTGCTTTACCTGAAGGCATGGCTGAGTTCTGCTTGTCCTTTTCATTCCGGAGGGCTTTGGTCTCATTTGGGACTCAGTTTTCCTCCTCAATCCCGGATCTTGTAGTAGTCTTGTGTCAGTTTACTTTAATGTCGGTTTAGAGCCCTTAGTAAACTGTAAAGCGCGCTGTTACATACTCAAAAAGCTATTCTTTCTCTGGTGGATTACAACTAAGATTTCTTTGCTACTGACTCACTTTCTTTCCACTCGGTTTCCTTACCTTTCTCCTTGAGTTTTCAGTCTTATTAGTTATCCAGACATCTTAACTGTCATCACTCTATTCTCTTACTCTTGTTTTTTCTAAGGGTTGATCCTAGTATCATTCCTGTTATCTTTTGCTTGACATAATCTTGTAGTTTACTTCCAGCTTTTTTGGCTATTGTTTCTACCTTATATCCAAGGTATATAGTTATATATAGTCTGCCAGTTTTTAGGTTTGCTTTGTACAGCACTGTGTATCCTAATAATTCAGAGTTTTTCTTTTTATTTTATTTTACTTCTTTTAAGACAGGGCAGCCTCACTATGTAGCACACTCTGGTTTCCAACTTATCTTCCTTCTTCAACCTCCTGAGTGCTGGAATTACAGGCTGCTGGAATTATAAGGTGTGCACCACCATGCCCACCCTAGAGTGAATTTTTTTTTTTTGTGGTACTGAGGTTTGAACTCAGAGCCTACACCTTGAGCCACTCCACCAGCCCTTTTTTTGTGAAGGGTTTTTTCGAAATAGGGTCTGTCAAACTGTTTGCCTTGGCTGACCTCTAACCACAAACCTTCTGATCTCTGCCTCCTGAGTAACTAGGGTTACAGGCTTGGGCCACTGGTGCCTGGTTAGAGTGAACTTTTCCAGTGAACACTGTTCATATATTTTTTTTTCCCCACTATGATAAAGCTTTTTCCATCAGTGGGTATGCTACTAGTTAGTGTGTTCCTCACCTTCCCCCACGATTGTATGTCCTTTTTAGTGTTGGTTTGTTAAATAAAGGTGGAAGGAAGGTGAACATCATTCTTAACCTCTCCTCTGTCTGAGGTATTGGATGGGTAAGCTGGTCCACAACTGTCTCAGGAAAGGGAATAAATTTTGCAGATGATCCAACATACCTTACCTGCCTGGGGATCCTCTTAGTTAGGGCCATCCTCCCATTGCTATGAAGGTTTCTCTTAAGCAAAGATGATTAGTTTCCCACCCAACCCTTATGCTGTCTGTGTGCTCCACCTGATTGGTAATTCACGTGTGTTGGGAGATAATCCCCTCCCCTGACCTGGTATATTGTTTTCTTTTTAACCTGGTGTTTTTACCACCTGTGATTTCCCCCATTTGCTTCCTTGCTGCCTCTGATCCTTAGTAATTAAGAAACATTCCCCAAAAGGAAGATTTTTGTTGTGATTAAAATATGACTAGAAGTAGTGGCATGGGAGAGAATGAGACCATGGAAAAGGATTGTGGTAACTGCCTCTCCTACCTGTTTCCTGCTGCTCTGGTTTCCTCTGGCCTCTCTTTTAATGTGGGCTGGACTAGTAGAAGTTCCACGGACCTTCCTTTAGAAGTCTGTACTGGAACAACACCTCTGCTTTCCCTATTCAGTAACTGGTGGAGCCTGTGCTGGGCTTACCTGGTATGTCTCTTTTGGTATTTGTCTGGATGACTTACTGTTCAGGGGAGAAATGGTGGGAAAGCATGGTCATAAGAATGGAGTTATTTCAATATGCACTTTTTTGTGTGGTACTTGAATCTGAACTCAGGGTCTATACCTTAAGCCACTCCACCAGCCCTTTTTTGAGATGTGCTTTTTTTGAGATAGGGTATCGTGAACTATTTTGGATGGGCTGGCTTCAAACCGAGATCCTCCCAATCTCTGCCTCCTGAGTAGCTAGGATTAGGGGAGTTAGCCATTGGCGTGTGGCAGAATCTAAACTCATCATTTAAAAAAAAGTTGGTGCAGTGACCAGTCTGGGCTACATAGGGAGGCCCTGCCTCAAAAAAAACAAAAAAATTCCTTTTTTATAAGACTTTTTCTGTGTCTGTGTTAAATGTGTTATGAAGGGCTAATTCCTGCTCAAAGAAGCAGTCCGCATCGATTCACGAGTTGTGAAGATCTGTTTAAACAATCATATTTTGTTTATGTTTATTTCTCCTTGCAAGATAACTCATGTGTCAGCAAATACCAGTTCACTCTTAGTTATTAATTTGAGTAAATGGAGTGTCCTTAAAAAACAAGTGTTAGGGCATCTCTGGTGTTGATGGTAAAATAGTAATCTCTGATAGATTTTAGCAGCTGTTTCTGTTACTGTTTGCCATTTGTAAAATGGAAAGTATAGATGAACCTAAAAGAGATCTCTGTAGGGAATAGCCCCATGTAAGTCTGTTGTATAAATTTTGAAATAATTTTGATCCAGATACCAAATAGCCATTTTTTTTGAATTTGTCCAAATTTACCAGATTTTGCAATTAGAATGTAAATTGCTGCTATTAATATTCCTTTTTTTTTTTTTTTTTTGGCAGTGTGTCTTCCAAACTTCGTCCATGTACTGTACTTCCTTTTGTTTTCTTTTTGGTGCTGGAAATTGAACTCAGGGCCTTGCAAATGCTAATTTGCTGCAACATTGAGTATTAAGTTATGTCTCCAGTACATACTGGTGGTACTGGGGTTTGAACTCAGGGCCTATATCTTGAGCCACTCTACTAGCCCTACTAGCCCTTTTTTTTTGTGACTTTTTTTTTTTTTTTTTTTTTTTTTGCCTAGGGCTGGCTTTGAACCGAGATTTTCCTTATCTCTGCATCCTGAGTAGCCAGGATTACAGGCCTGAACCACCAGCACCAGGCCCCTGTATTTTTTAAAGAAAGGAAGTCATTTTAGTTTTGAAATTTCTTGATACGGGCATTGAAGACCAAGTTTGTGAATTTCTGGTTAAGGGATGTAGTATCTGTGTTTACATTTTCAGGTAACTCATTTTCATACTGTCATACCGGACTTAGTGAACTCAAGAGTTGGAACTCAGTTAAGTATTTGGAATTGAGGCATAAAACAAGACTTGAATTAAGGAGCAGACAATGTTCTCCTTTTAAAAATTGTAAGGAATGTGGAGCTGGAGGTATAGCTCAGTGGTAGAGCTGTGGAGCATGCAGGAGGTACTGGATTCAGTCCCCAGCACTGGGGGTGGTTGGGAGGCGGAGAGGTAGGGATAGGGATGATGTATATGAGGGGGTCAAAATCTTTGAAAAGTTTGGTTGAATACTTTTAATGATTGTTTGTGGAAGAGAATTTCATTTGTTGTGATTTTATGTATTCCAATTTTTCTTTAGAAGTTTTGAACTCAGGGCTTCACATTTGCAAGGCAGGTGCTCTTACCACTTGAGCCACAGGATCAGCTTCATTTGGATTTAAATCTTTTGTTGTAGCTGTTTCTTGCTGGTGTTATTAACTTGTCTTTAAGGTGTCACATAGAAACTTTCTCATTTAAAGTACTGTTGTATATACATGATCACTGCCTATTACTTTTAGTATTTGCACACAAAATCTTTTACATGTCTTAGTCTTCTCATCAAATCAGTTACAGTATTATATCTATCAAAATTGCTTCTTGTTAGTTAATGTCTTTATCCCTTTGTAACTTCTGTGGTTCTGGGGTGTCAACTCAAGGATTCATGTTTCCTAGGCAGGTGCTCTACCACTTGAGGTATTCTGCCAGCCCTCCCTCTGTACCTTTTTTAATTCTACTCTTTCCTTCCTTTTTCCTTCTTTCCTTTGTTCTCTCTCTCCCTCCCCCCTTTTTTTTGTGGGATTGGGGTTCACACTCAGGGTTTCCCACTTGCTTGGTAGGAGCTCTACAGTTTGACCAAGCCTCTAGTCCTGCTCTGGTTATTTTGGAGGTGGGGGTCTCAGGAACTATTTGCCTGGGCTGCCCTCTAACTGAGATCCTTCTGATTTCACCCTCCCAGGTATATAGGATTACAAGGGGGAGCCACTGTCTCCCGGTTTATATATTTTTTTTTTTACAGTACTGGGGATTGAACCCATGGCCTAAATGAGTGCTAGGCAAGCATTCTATTTTTCCAGCTATACCTCCAGTCCTATACTTTCATTAAAAGTGGGACCCTACTTAACTGTTTAATTAAAAAATATAGCATACATTCTATAAAAGGTATATAAGGCATGAAAACACATATAGAACTTTAAAAAATAGTAAGTGAACAACCAAGAAGTGGAACATTACAGTACCCAGAAGTGCACTGTTAAGCCATCCTCCCAAAATACTTTTGTTTATGTATTATCACTGAAGTACATTACTGAAAGATAATTTTTTTTTTTTTTTTGGTGGTACCGGGGTTTGAACTGAGGGCTTCTCCTTTGCTAGGCAGGCAGTCTACCACTTGAGCTACTCCATGAGCTCTTTTTTTTGTGTGGGTTTTTTTTTTTTTTTTTTTTTGTGGTTACTAGGGTTTGAACTTGGGGCCTACACCTTGAGCATTCCACC